GGCAGAATAATAAATAATATGAAGCACAAAGACATTTACAATGGGTTTCTTGTTGGCGCACAGTGCGTATAATTAATATGCGCGAATCGCGCGATTTATTGAAAGTTTTCGCTTGTGACAGGTGAAATTTTATAATTGAAAATATTCAAAACCAATTTCTAATAATAAATTCAAATAACATATCCAGAGTGCGGCCCAAGCGCTGGCCCAAAACTTCATTTGCATGCCGTACCCCATGCATCCGGTCATTAAAAAATTAATTGAACTATGACCAAAAGCCGACTCGAACAACCCCGTACAGTATAATTTAAAACGTATTAAAATCACAAACACACGCACACATTTATCTAGATCCATAGACAAATAGAGCGACAGACACAAAACACAATTTGGAGCGCACATTTTGTGCCATTTTCGGTCGGTTATTGGGTATATAATATTAAAAATAATATTATTATTATATATTATCATATCATATGCAATCATAATTAAGCCGCATTTCGGTCTATCTCTTCATATAGATTCGCCTACCTTAAAAATAGTATTTCTTAATAAGTGCTTATCACACTTGGATTTGAATATTTAATGAACCGAAGGTCGTTGCGTTTCTTGTACCCGCCCGTATAACAGTTATATCTGTATTGTGCTACTGTAGCACAGTGGGGACTTGTCTAGGTTAAGCATGGATTGGCATAGTGGAATATAAAGGGAATTCAAAAGGAACTAGAAAAAAAAAACTCAACTCTGAACTTTGCGTTCGCAATTTGCGCTCTAATTTGATAAGGTTAATTAATGGCAAGGGGCATACAAATTATGAACTCACGTTGTGCTCGGGGCCGGAGAGTGAACGTTTACTGGTAACGCCTTAAGCTGCAACACACACGCGCACACACATTTACTAAACACACACACTAACACACGCGCACTTGCAAGTGGTAAACGGCAAGCGGGCAGCTATCGATGCGCCCAGACAAAATCTCTTTTGGGCTGTTAACAATTTCACGCGCGCGTCTTAACTGTTGTTACTGGTTGCTGTTGTTGTTGTTGTTGTTGTTGCTGTGATCAGCATCGTATTCTATGTTGTTGTTGTTGTTGCTGTTGTTGTTGTTGTGGGTGCAAAATAACACTCACTCGCGTATTCGCACTCGCACTCACACACTCGCACTTGCACTCACGACGACAACTTGACTTGGCAAAACTTCTGTAGTAACTAAATAGCAGGGGCCCACGGTATCATATAGCACAAAACAACGGCGTATTTGGCGACAGCGACGCGCACGCTGGCAGCGACAGAGCAGCGTCTGTGCGGCACAGTGGTACACAAGCGACTAATTGATCTTAAGACTTAAGCATATGAGATCAATGACTATTTTAATTTTGTTTTAAGAAAATAGTGTAAGTTAAATGTGATTTCATTTAGAGTTTGTCTTTAAGAGCACTATTCGCTGTTTGATTACGATTCTAAGCTGCCAATTTTATTATTTTGTTTTTAAGTTTATATTCGTACAAAGTTATGTTGGCGTAAGAGTGCTTAAAAGCGAATTTGCTGCTTGCTTTGATTCTCAAAGCCACAAATATATTAAATTATTTTTTAATTTTTAATGCATCAATTTTAAAAGCAAATAATAATATATTTGCTTATTATTTTAATAATTTAAGTTTAAAATTAAAACTAAACTTAACTGGGAGCATAAAAAAAATGGTATTTAAGTCAGCTGCAGTCACTGCAGCTTATTATTCTGTACGAAACTCATCAAGACTATATAAGAAATCATTCGAGTGTATGCTCACAAAATACAGACACGCTTTTAAAATTCGCTTCATTAGCAAAAAAAAAAACTGTTACACTGCTTCAAAATATCCTATTAACGCCTTTTTAGCATCTTTTTTCATATCTATATTTTTTCCGAGTCCTGCTCATGGCCTACGCTTAATAGCTTGTTTCGTGATCTGCTAATAGAATTGTGCCACTGTGCCGTGCCTTTTGATTAGTTTGACGTTTACTTGTTGCTGCCCGCGTCGACTGCGACGCCAGCTGCGAATGGTGGGTGCTTTGAGTCTCAGCCTCTGCCGTCCGCTTCGGGCTCTGGGAGCTGCTCTGTAGCCGGCTTTGGCGTGACTTGTTGACGATTTGTTTTTATTTTTGTTTTTGTTTGTTTCGACGCGCTCTGCGCTTGGCGGGCACGAACCACAGATCCGATATTTTCCAATTTGTATGCATAAATTCACACACAGATGCACACACGACAAAAAGGGGTGCGGTACAGGCGGGTGTGAGGGGGGAGAAAGGAGGCAAGCATTTTGTGTCTCTCCCCATAAACAAGCTGCGCTGTCCAACTGAAACAAAAGAACCCAAACAAACAACTAGCGAGTACTCGCACTCACACTCGAGTACTCATACGAGAACGGGTAGTCGTACATGTGCGCATCTGGTTTAGGGCACGGGCCTGCAGCTTACACTCACATGTCTTTGGAGTGGGCACAGTCCTCATAATGATGACGACGATGGCATATAGCGGGTGGTGTTGTCAGCTCCACGGGTGGTACGAGAAGTTTTTGGGTGTTTAATTGCAAATACTCACTAAAAATTTTCCATGAATGAAGTGCTCTTTAATCACATAAGTTTACTACAGTAAAAAGTTCAGCTTTCTAGTTCTTACAGCTTGATCTGTACGCTGATCATCAATCTGTCAATTACTCAAGCACTTTTATATTTATTCAGATTGCCAGCTGCATATTTTGTATTGTGCTATAAAGTCTATTTCACACCCTCGAGCATTATCTATGTTCTTTTTATGGTTTGGCAATATGAAAATATCATATATCATATATCAAGTTTTATTTGCATTAGATAAGAAAGACTGCTAAGTATTCGGCATAATATTGGCATTGATAGAAATATAGATTTGAGTTGCTTGAAATGCAAATAGAACGAGTATATATTTTTATTTTTAAATACTGGAGAACAACCTCACAGCTTACCCTTAAATAGTTTTAACAAGTAGTCGGGTATGCCGCACTACAAGTTACCACTCAAACATGCTCTATACATGTTATGTTGTAAGATTGTATGACGAATAGACTGGAATACAAAAATTCAATAAGGAAATCTACAAAAATACAAATTATAAAAAAATATCTTAAAATATTTCAACTCACAATTATATACTCCATCTCAAAATTAAAGGTATCTGAAGAATCCAACACGAAATAGTATTTAATTTATTGACATATAATATGCCCCATAGGTAGCTTGGTTAAAGGGCATATAAATTTGCCTGTTGCCGGCTTTAGGCGCTGCTGTCCACTCCACTACCTCCCTCCCTCCCTCCCTCCTCTGCCAGCACTCTTTCATTCAGCAGCGCGTCGTCAAGCTCCAACAGGCAGTGGCAAGGGCGTGTCCCGTCGCCCTCTATCCCTCTGTGACTGACTGTACCCGTGCATGTGCATATCTGAAAGGGGTCGGGGGGTCAGCTCTGGTTGGACTCGACTCGACTCGACGACCGTCAGACAGCAAGTAGACAGACGACAGTTATTATTGCCCCAGCGCGAGTGTTGCATAGTTTTTCTGTTTTTCAGCTTTTGTTATATTATTTTTTGTATGGTTTGTTTTCGTTTATGCGCTGAAATGTGCGCCCCCAACACATAGGATTAGGGAGAGGTCGGGGCAGAGGCCGGAGCAGCGGCCGAGGCAGAGCGTACAGCGGCAACTTTATGACATTATTGACAATACGTTTGAGGCAGGGCGGGAGGAGTGGAGGGTTCTCCAATGCGCTGGCTATGTGAATAATGAGCTCACTCGCAATGCCGCTGGACAGGCATTACTTAGTTGTCGCAGAAGCTGCAGTCCGAGAGCGCCTGTCAACTGACTGTCAATGCAAAGGACAGCCAAGGACAACAGAGGCAGCCACAGGACGGACCAAAGCTGTCAATTTTGAGTTTTCTTTTTCTGCATTGGATGTGCTTTAAGCTGAGGGGCATATTTATCCAGCGATATTGCAGTATATTAACGTATATATACAATTTATATATATAAACCTTTACAAAATTGTCAACACTCGCATGTGTGAAAACCCAAGGAGAATAAACGTTTTTTTGTAAGCCAAAACTACATGACAATCTGGTTAACACAAATTATAGAACGTTTCACAGCGCTAGAGTAAATGCGATTTAAGAAGAGACAAGAAATGTGAGGAAGAGAAAGAGAGAGTGCGAACAGAAATTTTGTTAGTTGGTTTGCAAGCTTTAACATTTTTTTCAAGTCTTGATTAAAAATGTTTGAATATATGGGAAGGTGTGAATATTTTTACGGTATTTATATGTCTAGAACTCAAAAATAATGCAAAGTCATCGCGCGGGCAGATAAGCGTGCAGAGCCTTAAACACGTAAAGTTAATTAAAGCAAGCGCCATGTTATGCTGTTACAGCAATATTTTTGCTTGGCAATGTTAACGCTATGTTCTTAACAGCAATAGCTCAATGTTAAGCTGTTCCCAACATTGTTAATATTAATAGCAACATCAGAGTTACATGGTTAACAGCGAATTTAATATTTGGCTGTTAACAGCAATAAATCTATGCCACACTGTTAACAGCACTGTTATGTGCGGCCTCGCTTATCGCTATGTTAAGCCGCTGCTAACTGCTCACCTGCTGCCGTTGCGGCGCCATTTGGCAAGACTTGACTTTTGCGTTGCAAATATGGCGTGCCGCAGTGCGGACAAGACTCCACTTCCGTTTCCTTTGTACTTGTCGCTGTTGTTGTTGTTGTTTTTGCGCTGCAAGCTCAGTTAATTAGGCAACTGTTGCGCTCGTGGTAGCTGCTTTTTCTTGTTGTTTTTTTTGCTCACCTGCTGAGTGCCAATATTAAAGGACCCCGCGCACGCTGCGCCTTAAGCACGTTTAACAGCTGCGCATCGCTCAAGGCGACATCCTGCAGACGCAGCGAGGACTGCAATGGCCAAAACAAATCATTTTTATACACACTAAACTTAAAGCACAATTTATTATTTAATGTAAACAAAAGCACAAGGCGCACACATTTAAACTTAGGTACTACAATAACTAAACTTCTCATACACTTTTGGACACACGTTTGGCGGGCAGCGGGGGCGGCTTCGACTGCTGCCCCCCGCGACGCAGCGAACAGAACTTAAGCATGCTGCAGTTGTTGTTGTTGAGGCCGCAATGGATAACACAAGACTGGCCGCTGGATAGTCGGAATTTGTCGAGCGCTCGGCGCTCATTTGGTGGGCGTTAACGCGGGCGATAAGGCATAGCCCATGCCAGGGACGACGACGGCTACGCCAGCGTGCAAATGCCGTGCCGCTCCATGAAGACCTCCAGGCACGTGGCGTCGACGCGATCAAAGAGCAGCGAGCCGAAGCGTCGCGCCGTATAGTCGACTATCAGCACCATTTTGCAGTTGATGCACTTGTCCCGATAGTGGAAGAGCAGGCCGACCGACTGGTGCACAATGTGATCCACATAGCCTGGCGCCGAGCGGTATACCTGATGGTTGCCCATCTCCACAATGGAGCGCGCATTGACCACCACCTTGCTGCGCACATACGCGGGCAGCACCTCGAGGGTGCGTCGGACCTTCGACTGGGTGTAGAGCACGCGATTCATGAGATGGGCCGGGGCATTGAAGGTGTCATTGCTGTCGCGCCTGTAGAAGAAGACATTGCGAAAGACAAAGCCCGAGGTGCGTCCCTCGTCGCACTGCCGCAGATAGTCCGCCAGGGAGTTGTGCTTAAGGGGCATCATTACCTCGTCCAGATCCACCACAGCCGCATAGCGATGATTGTCCACGATATTGGCGCGATAGACGCAGTCGTTGAACTGCGCCACGATGCCCGCATAGTGCAGATCATGCAGATGCGCCTGCACATTCCACTCGAACACGTCGGCCAGCCCCTTCTGCTGGTAGTGGGCCAGCACGCGGCGCACCTCCTCGCTGGCCTCCACGTAGTAGAAGTAGAAGTGCGTCGCGCCCTGCAGACGATACATCTCCACGAACTCTACCAGGCGCAGCACATTCGAGTAGTTCTCCTGCAATGGGCCGACGCACACGGAAATCGTGCGTCGCGACTTGGCAAACAGCTCCGACATGTTCCGCGGATAGCTGAAAGCAGCAGCATTAAGTATAGCCGGCACTTAGGGCATTTATTCGCTTAGCTCACCTGATTTGCACGTAGCTGGGACTCAAGTGACTCAGCCGATTCGATGCGTAGCTGAGCGCAACAGCTTGGGGCAGGCGCACTGGCGACTTTTTTGGCACATGCAGCGGGCACATAATGCTCCATGCCGCAAAGGTATTGTTGTGCACATCGCGCATCGCGCCCGCCTCCTCGGCCACAATCTCGTAGCTGGTGAAATCCGCGAAGCGCACAATGCAGCTCAGCCGCGAGTCACGCAGACGCACCGGCAAAATTGCAAAAATCCGTACTGAACCAACAGTCATCTCCTCGTCCAGCCTTACGCCGCCTGTACAGATTAGAGGGTATATAAATATGAATATCTTTGGACAAAAGGTTGAGATTATTCTGCTCAGAACTGTTCTTATCAAAGATATCTGCAGATATCCATACTTGGAAGGCTTTAGATCAGTTTCTTTCTCTGTCTAGAAAAGTAGCTTATATTTATTCTGATCAAGCTTAACATATGATTAGCAGATTTTGGCTAACACAAGGAGAGAAAAATCACATTTCAATTTAGCCTTCATATCATAAACATCTTATTCCCTGAAAAGATTTTAGATACTTAGTAATACGTACTCTGAAGCAGTACACAAAATATATGCATTAATATCAATTCGAATTTAATAATCATTTTTTTAATATTGCTCAAAAAATAATGTTTGCTATTAAACTTTCTTAGACATTTTTTCATTACATTTTTTTCTTAATTTTTAAATGTTTCTTAACTCTGTTTAATTATCTATACAAAACTAACTGCGAGTTCTTCTTACTTCACAAATTATTTAAATCTTTGATAAATTAATTCGATATACCAAAAATTCTATAGTATAAAATATACATCATATAGAAGTTCCGGGTCTGCTTTTAAAGATTAACGAACAATTCCTGGCATATCAATTTTTTTGTTGTTGTTTGTCAGTTACGTAATTCGATATTATTGTGATGATAAATTGTTGATGATGACATTTGTATCCCCTCTACCTTGGTCACTGACAGAGAATTTAATATGCTTTTCTAGACAGAAAACTTTGCAAACAAAACAAAAAAATATTCCACTCTTATTACATTTCTATGGCTTTTAATGAACGTCCGCAGTGGGATATGGTGGGACGAGGTTACTCCGACTAACTGTGTCACGCTCTTAAATTAATTCTTATTTGTATATACAAGTTAGAAAGTTTCTCTCGGCAAAATATTTGCACATCTATTCTTGTTTTTGGCATAACATAAATTAAAGTCGCGAATGTGAGTCATGCCAGAAGCTGCTTAAAAAAAAAGGCCAAAGTATTCACGACAGAGCCCAAATTTAGGCCAGAGCGCGAGCTGCATATGTGTGTAAACACTTGATGTTCGTATCATAAAATGGTCACATTATTTTCGTAGATAAGCAAACGGTCACATTAAATAGGTATTCAATTAAATAAAAATGGAATCGGGGCTAATTTGATTTTGACAGCTCGTGTGAACTGACTTTTGTTTATAAGCTAAACATAGAGAAAACAGCTATGAACGTTTCCGGGGAAAACGATTATCGGGTGCCGCCAGTATTTTTAACAACAATTTTATATATCTATCTCTGACGGAGGGTTACAGTGCCTCCAAAACTGTAACCCTCCGGCAGAGACTCAGAAACTGTATCTACGGTAAATATGAAGGTTGTAAATGATGTATGTCTCTTCGATTTTTCATTCGTTTGATTTATTAAATCAGCTGCAAATAGCAATTACTAAGCTTAAAAACTGTCGGAGATAAAGAGGAGGTGGGCGTGCCCAAAATATGTTAACTCTGTTTAACTCTCTCAAAATTGAGTTCTTACCGATAGCAAGACGGCTATTTACCCAAAACCAATATACCCCCTTATATTTAAAAAAACAGAGTACAATTCAAGTCTGAAATTCCTAGTTAATTTTTTGCTTTCTAGCTCTAATCCCTGCGCTCTTGTTAATATCTCGACTCCCAGGCTTCATATCAATTGTTCTCTTTTTTAATTTCCTTTCCCATATTTGGAACTTACTTATAATATCCGTGCGCACATCGAAATATGCGGCATATATCTCATGCCTTAGCGATGCATTTCCGATGCGTCGCCAGCTGTTGTTATAGTTCCAGTGCGGATTTGGCTTTGGGTAGAAGAGTTGCCGCTGCATTAGCTTCAGATCATCGCGCAGGCGTTCATTCTGCAAAGGCAAAGGCGCAGGCAATAAATACACACATAGTACACACACATAGTTCACACACTCGCACACACACTCACAATTGTTGTGCGCATGGAGATGTAGAAGAGTATCAACATGGTGCAGGCCACCAGACCGGAGAGCGTAAAGTAAACATATTGAAAACGATTCTCTGGTGCCGTCAGCATTTTTAACAACAATTTTATATATCTATCAGATATATATATACATATATTTATATTTGTTTATATGTACGTGTCAGATTTTTAATTAAATTATTTTATTAGACCGAACCGAACACTCGACCTTGAGTGCCGCACGCAGCCGCACCGAGCAACACCTGGTGAATTGTCCTGCTGCTGCCTGTTGCCTGTTGCCCACGGCGGCGTCCAGGTGTGAATTACAGTTATGCGACTTGTGCGGCAAGCTGCCTACTCGTGACTACAAGTGTCATGCGGTTCAGGAGTCGCCATCGGCAGTCGCCAGTCGACAATCGCCTCAGCTGCGGCCACCAGCCGCTGCGCTGTTTATTTTCGATGTTGACGTCGACGTCGTCGTCGACGCTGACGCGCTGCCAACCCCAAAGCGGCTCCTGTTGCTTGTTTGCTTTCAGTTTTGTTGATGGGCGACCATCGATTAACGATAACACGCTGCGCGGCAGGGGCAGGGGCAGGGGTTGGGCTGTGGGCCGAGGGGGCGTTTACAGCTCGCGGGCGTCTTTCAGTGTCATCATCGACGGCAGCCCCGACCTCGGCATTCTCGGTCAACTAACCAACTATTTAGCTACACTCGTAAAAACAATGGGCAAAATTAAGATATTGGCTATAAAAATCATTTCAGAGGAAAACTTTTCCTAGGATCAGACAGAGACAGTGCCTGAAAACGGTAGATTAGTGTTGCAAAATGTATATGCTAGTGTTCGAAAAGCAAGGATAGGTTGAGCTTTGAAATTTAATGAGCTTTTAAAGCGCAAACCCAAGCGCATAACTGCTTTTTTGAACTGAGCTTTTAAATTTTGCTTAAAAAGAAGTGAATAGACGAGCAGCGAGTGTGGAACAATGGATAAATCAGTGTCTTCCTCCAGTGTTGGTAAAGCGGCTATGAATTTTGTTTTTGCTTCTCATAAATAAGATATTTTAATTCAGCTTCTTTTTGAAATTGATTTCACATTTTGTTTTCCGTTTTTGCGTCTTGTAGTTTTGTAGGTCGCACTTTCAGATTGTGTCATTTGTATCTATAAAATCAGTATTATAGAATTTAAACGTGACTTTCAGTTTAGTTGTGAATTATTTTTGCGAGTGTTTGTTTGCGGTTTGTGCACATACGCTGGTCTGCCGCGGGAATCGTGACGGAGGGACCAGGATCGAGCAGCAGGACGGACAGTTAGTGGCGCCCGCAATACGCAAATGATTATGGCACCCACGCACTCACACACACACGGACACACACAAGCACACACACACACGGACACACACAAGCACACGCACACACGGACACAACAAGTGTCTGGGGCAGGACTCGGGCGACGCGTATGCAACAAGTTAATCAACGTACGTTTCGCATGAAACTGGCGCCATCGGCGACTCTGTCAACGCGTCGCCAGCAGGCGGCAAACGTCGACTGCGCAGCCAGCGTTAACGCCAACGTAGCTTTTCCTATTGCTGTGTGTGAGAGTGGGTGAGAAGTTGAGTGGGTGGGTGAACGTGTGGCGGGAGGGGCGTGGGCATGTAAACGCACTTCACTTTAACATGAGTCGACTTTATAAATTGTATGTTTTGTTTCTCAATTGGAGTGTCCCACTGACTGACTGTGCGTGTGTGTTTGTATTTGTGTGCCCGTCCGTGTGTGTGTGTGTGTGTGTGTTTCTTTGAGTCAGCACCACTTCGTGGCATTATAAATTTAAGCTATTTTTAAATGAAAACACACGAAAAATGTAAAGAATAATATATATATGTATATAAAATATATTCCAAAACATTTAATAGATTTGTCTGGGCTGTCCAAAAGAAAAATGTTTATTATATATATATATATGTATATGCATATATACTTGTGTATAAAAGATTCTAGACCAAATTAATTTGTTGTTGTTCATCATTGTCAAGCGTCACAGTGGTTGGGTATATTATAAATTGGAGATTTTTCATTTTCTTAGTGTTGTATTTTGTTTTATTATATATATCAACAGAGTTATGCAAAATAAATTAGTTGAGATTTGTATTTCGATTTAACTTTCAGTTACATTTGTTACATTTCTTATTTATTTCACAACTTGTTATTGAGGGGCAGAGCACGAGCAAAGGCTAGATATTGTAGACTTGTAGTCTTTTTGAAACAATTATGAAAATCTGTAAAAACAGAATCACGTATTTTTGATAGCACTCGGCCCACTGTGCAGTGACCGCTGCAGACCGCTTTCCATGCTCATTCCTTTAGCTTTTGCCTCTGTTATACATTTATATTTTTCTTGCCATTTTTTCTGAGTTCCATATAAAAAGCAGACTGCTCGATTCATTTGAATTAATTTTTCATTTCATTAAGCACGCAAAATATTTTTCAGTTATTTTCAGTTAGCTCTGTCAATATGTTGCCATAGAGCATGCAAAAGGAAAGAGAGCTTTCCATTTAATGAATAATGTGCCAATGGGACAGGGAATTAAATGCGAATCAATTGAAACACTCACATGCAGAACTGAGTGTTCGATGAGTACATACAAATAAATAAATATCACTAGGCACAGAAAATGTTGCAATTTCGGACGAAACGTGAAACGAAACATTTTCAAAAGAAACCAAAAAAAATAACTCAGCTATGCGACATGATTGCATACGCTGAACGGCCAGGTGAGAACTGTTTACCTGGTTCGGCTTCAAATTAAATTGGCCACGTTATCGGGCCGTCAACTGATTAAAGTTCTTATCGGCAGGCGGACATGCCAGCCAGCAGCGGGCTTATCTGTGAATATAGTTAATAGACTAATACCTGAGTATTGATTGCTTGTAGGCAGCTGTCTTTCCGCCCAGGGTGACCCGCATGCGACAGTAGCCGGTCGCAAGGCAACCAGCATAAAAGTCCCTCGCGGCTGCCCACCAGTAGCCAACTGTTTGACGCAGGCGCGGCAGCAGCCTAACCCCAGAAACCAGAATGAATAGTTGCCAAAATACAAGAAAAAAATCGCCCCTTTTTACAATTTCCAGTTGGCGGTGTCAAGCGTGAGAAAGTTAAGGAGATTGTTCGCTTTTCGAGGATAACTAATTCGTGTAAATCTTGACTGATTTATATGCACCCAACTACGTACATATCAACTGGTTGCAGCTACAGTTCCCAGCCAAGCGAACTTCTCATAGATCTGCGTGTGTGTGTTTTGTGGTGGTGGCATTTACCCACCACCAACACGGGCAGCACCACAATACGACTCCTGGGATCGCATACCAGCATAAACATTACCAATTCAATGCATTCCCGTATATCTGGAACCCTTCTCGGCTGTTATGACCCAGCGGCACGCAGGCCACCGGCAAAGCGGGGCACGCCTGCGTGTTCTGGGCGCACATTTTTATTTCATGCGAAAGTATTTTCAATTGTTGAGCGGAACGTGGTTGCCCTTTTGTCGTATTTGGTGGTGGTTTTCTTGCCCCAGCTATAAATACTCCAACAGATCAGCGCTGCGGCACAGTTCTGTTTGAAGTCTTACAAAGTGAAGTACCAAAAAAAGAGTTTCCGAAAAGTCTAGAGTTTTTTAACTAAATTAAAGCAGCTGGGCCGCCACCGGTTTCTGGTGGCGGCTGACCCAGCTGAGAATCTCTAAAGTACAGTCTTAAACCACGTGCAAAGTAAACCAGTTGAATGCTGTCTCAAGTCTTGTAAGTATGCTGGCAGAACAAACGCCTTCGAATTGTTTTATAACAATGCAAAACTTCATCTCTAGCTGGACAAAATTAAAATCGAACATACGAAAATATCATCTCAAATGGAACGCTATAAATTATTCTTCAAATGTTAGCAAGAGGAAAGAAAAACATGCTACATTAAACAAACAACAAATAAAATATATGAATTTCCGGAACAGGGAAACATTATCATCTCTAAGGCATCTATCTGTACAAACTATTCTATGAATCCATATCAAAAGAATGCAAAAGATCATTGAACAAATAGAACTCTTGAAAAAATATTCTTAAAGATAAGATACCAACCAAGACAACGCTTTTTATATAAACTATAATATCAAAAAGAATGTCTGAAGATTCGGAATTTCAACTAAAATCAAGACAACGCTTTTTATATAAACTATAATGTCAAAAAGAATATCTAAAGATTCTTAGTACCAACAATATCAGCTAAACCCATAGTCAAGGATTTTGTTCAAACATAAAACAACCATCGAAAGGATCGCAACCATGCAGTTCGGAATTGGCCTTCTTCTGGCGCCCTCACACAATTTTCCCATATAATAATGTATAACAATGTGAGGCTTTGCGACAATATCTTCCATTTCACTTAGTATATTTTTGTGCCTTTTTTCGTTTTACATTTCTCTTCAGTTTTGTTGCTGTTTTTTCGTTGACTTTCGTTAAAAAAGCTATAAATTTGTTGGTCTAACAATATTCTTGTTAAAAATTTCCACTCAAAAAAACAAACATTAATATTTTAGAATTAAAAAAAAAAAAACCAAATGTAAAATCGCGAAATTTTTAACGACATGTATTGCCAATAGCAGGCGTGTTTTTGTTACAAAATGAATTTGTTATTGATTTAAGTTCGTCAAAAACGGTTAATTTTCATTTCCAAATGTTTAGGCTTTGATTTCCTTTCAATTTTTTTTTATTACAATTTTGAGTTGGTAAGTTTTAATTTCCAATATTTTATTTAAAATTTGTTGGTTTCAACTTCATTCATTTTTGTTGGTTTTATTTAAATTTTTAATGGGTAAGTTTTCAATTTCAATATTGTGTTTGTTCCAATTTTTATTCGGTTACTTAATTTTTTAATTTGGTAAGTTTTTAACTTAATTTATATATTTATATTATTTTTTTTTTCTTTTTGTATATTTAATTTATTCAAATGCACACCTAATATCGTTTTTTAAAAACTTCGTTTGTTTTTATTTGATAATTATTTGCATTATAAGTTCATATATTATCATATTATACTTTTTTGTTATTATTATTTCGGAAATTTTTGTATTCAAAACATTTTATTTTATTACGTTCATAATTATTGTATATTATGATTTATACATTTGCCTTCTCATATACTGTACTTCTTACACATGGTACAACAATTTTTTTATTTCGAATTTATGAGTTTTCTCCACTTAATTTTCTCTATTGTTTGATTGTTTTCTTTTTATGATCAGTTGAGTTTTTATTTAATTTAGTACGTGTTGAATATTTAATATATATGTATGTGAACATCATGATTTTCTCAATATTTTACTTGCATTTTTATTTAATTTTTGTACTTTTTAACTTTTTAATTATTCCAAATTATAAATTAAAAATTTGATTGTTTTAAAGTATTTTTTTGTTTTGTTTTGTTCAATAAGTTTTTTATATATAATTTTGTTTATTTGTGAAATTAAATTAATTTTTTAAGTTAAACTATGATTTTTCCATTATATTTGTTTATCATGTTTTCATTGAGTTAATTTTCATTCCGTTGAGGATCCACAAAATAGTGTGGTAAGTTTCTGTTCTTTTTATTTTTTGTGCGGAGCTCTTATTTTATTTTTTAATATTTTCAATAAGTTTGTATTTTGTTATTGTTAACACTATTATGTTTCTTTAAGTTTCACTTTTGTATGTGCTTTAAATTTGTATTAATATCAGTTTTTTTAAGTCCTTTAAATTTGTTTCGTTTAGTTTCGTATTTATTTTCGGTATCAATAATTATTAAACTGTATCATTTTTCTTTATATTTTGTATTTAAATTTATAATTAATTACTATTTATTTATTTTCAAATTCGTCTTTCTTTTTATATTTATTATTTTATTTATTACATATATAATTTTTATATATTTTTTTTTTAAATTTACGTTTACTTATATTTACGTTTTATATATTTTTCTTTATTTTTATTTAATATTCTGTGTCTTTACTCCGGGCCAAAGTGTCTACAGTAATATTAAGTTCTAACTGATTTTCGTCTTGTTTCTAAACTGGGCTTATCTTAAAAGTATTTCACAAGTTTTGTGCGCACAACGCGGACAACAAACAATAATTAATAATATTACATAATAAACTGTTCTTTCAATGTAACACATCGTTAAATCTTTTATTCAAATATTAAATTATGTAATTTCTGAGAATCTTTTGAGCTGTTTATTGAGCAAAATGAAAGTCGTGGGCATAAATATTCATAATTTTAGCTTAGAAATTAAACACATAAATAGTAGAGATTATGTTAAGCCACGCCCACAAGGCGGCTGCTGCGGCTGCTGTCCCTGTCACTGCGCTGCCTTCTTGTCCTGGCCCTCATCGTTGGCCCGGGACTCGTCGGGCTTGGCCGCTGTTTGGGCCGCAGCTGCTGGCATGTTGGCGCTCCCATTACCACCACCATCACCTATTGAGTTAGCGGCATCGCTTGGATTCTCTGGAACCGCATTGCTGTCCCGGTCGAACAGATAACTGCCGCCTAGAGGGCGTGCTCGGCCACCATAGGAAGAGCTACAAGGGGCGACAAGAGAGCGAGCCTATCTTAATGATTTTTTCAATTCCGCACAGCGTCGCATGCTAATCAGCTAAACAGACTCGAGGAGTGGGTGAGGTTCGTGTTTCTCTCAGATTAGGCTGGCTCTGCACCCACTGCAACTTACCTCTGTGCATCGCGCTCTCTGTCCCGACCAACTCCGCCACCGCTGCCACCGCCCCCACCTGAGCTGCCAGTGGCAGCAGCAGACGCCGAGCTGCTGCCACCGCCGCTGCTGCTGCCGCCGCCGCTGCTGCCACCGCGGGAGCTCTGATTGTCCTGGTCGCCCAGATATGTCCAGCTGCCCTGGCCAATGGGTTTGCCCATGACGCTAGTGTGGCCGCCGCGATAGCCGTCGCTGTCAATGGCCGAGGAGGAGACTTTTGTGCCGCGATCGCCGTGCGGGCAGTTGCTGACTAGGTGGCCGCAGGGCGAGGCGGGGGCTAGCGACGAGGCGCGTTCGCGATCATAGTACGGCTGCGCACCAGAGCGACGGTCGTCGTCATCCCCGGCAAAATAATAGCCGCGCCCCGAATTATCGAAGCCCGACTGACCTCTGGGCGCAGCGGATTTGCAGGCAATTGGATGGGTGCGTGTGTGCAGTTAAGGACAGATCAGGACAGGACAGGAAGTGGGTGGAAGTGGTGCATTTAGTTCCGTAGTTCAAAATTGGCGTAGAGTATCCAGAGTTCATGTTGTTGTGGTGTTTTGTGTGATTAGTAGACATTGTTGTTGTTGTAGGCGTTGGTGATCGTGTTGTAGTAGTTGTTGTTGTGTTGTATGTAAGTAAAGAGCATTGACAACATTGGTACGAAAACGAACAAGCACTAGACATAATAGTAATAATAGCAATAGCAGGATAGCGATACCTGTAGGTCTCATCCCATGGACGATAGTTGCGAAAATCATACCTTGAATAGTAGCGATCGTACGGATCGTATCTGTCATAGCTGGAACGTGAACGATCATAGTAGCGATCTGCAATGAAAGGAGGTTAAACAACAGATAAGAACGAGAGACAACACGGAAAGTTCGTATTTTACGCACCACGCGAACTGTCACTGTAACGATCGCCGTAGTAGCGATCTCTGCTGTCGTAGCCACCGTAGCCGCGATCGTAGCCAGAGCCGCGATCGTAGCCGGAGCCGCGATCGTAGCCCGAGGAGGAGGAGCCCCTTCTGTAGTAATCATCATAGCCACGCCCCTCGTAACGATCATAGGTGCGGGGCGAGTAGCGATCGTCGCGACTGTAGTATCTGTCAGAGTCACGATCCCTGCCGCTGCCGCCGCGATCCTCGTACCGATCGTAGGAGTAGTACCAGGAGCTGCGCGGATCATCGCCGGCGCGACTCGAGTAGCCGCCATAGCCGGCACGATCGCTGCCGCCATAGCGATCGCTGCCGCCGCCATAGTACCGATCCTCGTAGCAGCGCACGCAGCGCGACTGACGACTCTTGCCCAGTGGAGCAGCAGGCGGACCGGCTGTCAGCTGCTTGTCGTTGGCCGTGGGCGTGGCACTGCGCGGCTCGGGTCCTCGCAAAGCGGCCTGGACCGAGACAACGGCCAGGCAGATCAGCTGCAAAGAGTGAGAAGAGTTGCGTGATCATTAGCCGATTGTTTATGGACAGATTTCACAGTCCAGCGACCAACTGGGCCAAAGCCCTCGCAGCCGCACGTACAGCCTCCAATCATAATTGACGAAAGTACTGGCAAAGTGCTGCTCGAAATACAAAGCCACATGTAGAAATCATCAGCAGCGTCATTATCATCATTAAATATGGACACTCCGAGCCAGCGAGCGTGAAATATGATCAATGGACGACGAGCTCTAGCTCTGGCTGTGGCGGTTCGATTATGCAATAATAGAGCATAGATTTGGGGCGCGAATGACGGCCAACACCTCAAGTGCTCACATTTTGGGCCAAAGAGCATTAATAAAAATAATAATAAAAGTTATAGAATTAATTAAAGCACAACCAAAATCGCATATTCATATGCATAAAATAGCATTGACATCATTTTTGGTTTTCATTCATGGCTCAAATCATAAAGTTCGCTGTGGGCCGCACCACACACCACCACCAGCACCACCACCACCACCACTCATATGTAACTCCCCCGCCCTCTCTCTTTTCCCCTTCAGAAAAAAAAGAGTTAATCATGAATATATGTTGGCGAGCTGCTCCGCCACGCTTTGTTAGTCAAGCATCAGGAACAACTTCCGCTGGCTGGGGTTGGCTTTAGCCAAAAACCAGCGACTGGCTGGCCAATCGGTGGATCTCGAGTTCGTGACTTGTCGCTGAGTGTGTGCACAATTTATTAGAATAATTATCTTTTTGTTTTCTATTTAAGCCCACACATATATCTGTAAATCAAATGGTTGTCGGTCAACAGGCGTTACCATCAGCAATTTCGGGGCGGCAATTCCACAAAATATCCCATTTACATAATATTCCTAAAATTTTAACAAAATATTACATCATAAAGCAACAGTTATGCGCTGTGAGTTCCACTGAGTCAGCAATATGATTATCTAATGAGATCTCATGGAATCTTTATGCATATGAATTGCATCTAAATTCCATAGTTTTCTGTCGGTAAAATCTATATATGAACTACCTTTAACATGTGTCGATTGTCGGATAGTATTAATTTCATATGTGAAGTTCTATGAAGGGTCATCTCTATTTTTTAAAGATTTTTAAAGTTGGATAAACAATTTAAGAGGCTATACATAGCTCTAAACGCTTTTCGCCTGTCTATAAATGTATACCAGGTATATCCCTAAGTCAACAGGTAAATACGGAGTGCTAGCAAAATCAAGGTCAACAGTTGCATAGTCTGATACCTTATAACCTAACGTAGAGTCTTCTGCTTTGCTTTTAATCAATTAAAAAATATCTGTTATATTTTTTAAAATGGACTTGCCTTTGCCTCATTTTGTTTAATTGTTTGATTACGTGAAAGTGCCGGGTTTCTAACAATGTGTAGAAACTTGTCTAAAATTTTAGAATGTCTCCAAGTTCCTTAAAGTGTCAAATTAATATTTTTAGAATCTTGATAGAATTCTGAATCATTTATAAAAGCAATGTACAACAGATTAAACTTGACTTAAACATAAGTTTATTGTATAACTTTTTTAATATGTTCAATTATATAAACGAATTTTGTGGCTCCAAAACAATTATTTTTAATTGTTTGCAAAACTTAAAATATGTGTTCTAAATAGTGGTCCTACGACATTTACCTAAAATGCATTAAAAAATAATTCTTATTGTTACAATTTGTTTTCTTCTACATGCAGTCTTTCATCTAGGAATAAATCATAACGAAGGAAAAATCTTCCAGCTTCCTTGTTAGATTTTTGACTGCATATTGAAAACCTTGTAACAGCATACACAAATTGCACGATATTTAAATAGAATATTTAAATTTCCATGTATCTAAAAACAAATATTGCCTGCGGTTTTAACGGAAATTAAAGCTCTAAACTGAATGCTTAGTGTACAAACCCAGCCCATTACTCTAGCTTATGTTATTATTATATTGCAATATTCGCATTTATACTATTTAAATAATCATTAATAAAAATTATCTTCTGCATACGTACTCTCTTTTCATTTTTCACTATCATAGTCTACAAAATTTAACTGATATTTTGAAACTTAAATTGTTTAAATAATTTTAAAAATATTTTATTTTATATTCAATTAACTCACCAATTGCAACACTCGCATTTTGCTTCAGGGCTCACAAGGTGTATAAATCACTTCCGTATATATTTTTTAGGCACGTGCTGTGCCACCTTTGAACTGTATTAGCTATATAGAGCTGGGTTCACAAATCCTTCGGCGCGCTTTTTATGAGTAGATGAAATATCGCTTGACGTGTCGTTGGCAACAGAATTGAAATCACGAATGTGCTGCTCAGGTCTGGGGCCCGGGTATTTATCTGAAACAGCCGCCAAGTTCGTTGGAGCGCGTTTTGCTAGAACCGAATCCGAGACCGAAAAACTCACAGAGAGACGCACTGAAGCGCGATATGGAGCTTGTCGGCAGCGGGGTTTGGGGGAGATTCTCGCTGCTCTACGTGTTTCCAAACTCTGGTATTTGTGGTTGAGGTGTTGGCATTTGGCTGGGGCATCGTTTTGTCACTTCACCTGCAACACCTTGGGTGCGGGCCCAGGCTGCCTGAATGGGAATTCGACTCTGAATCTGACTGTGAAACGGTTTTCGTGATTTTCATGGTCAGTTTGGCATTCGGAGAATGACAGGAGGATGTTTTGTCGGGGCGCAACCTGTCATTATTTGTTCTCAGGTCACATTTGGGGCTAATTAATGCATCTTCTCGCATGGCGTAATGGTCAAGCGAATTCCTTCCAAGTTTCGACAACTCTGACTCATTATTGCTGGATAAATCTTGGATTAAAGGCGTGAAATTAGCATTGCTAATTGCGCCAAACAAATTCATTTTTCGGCGCTTACATAATCCACGACCGTGACCATGGAAAGGGTTTAACTCTGAAGCTTAACGGGCGAGCTCAAAAAGACGCCAAACGGAACAACTTCACATGCAGATGACACAGATGCATTCTCTTTCATCTAGTTTTCAAAATATATCAACGTTGACATTTCCATATATAGGTAAATAAAATCAGGTATTGGAGAATAAAAACTATTTACATCCAAACATCCAGGATGCAGAGATAGTTAAAGATCGGGCTGTCAGTTTATATTATTATGAAGCTAAACTAACTAACAAAACTAAACTAAATAACACTGTTCTTATAAGTTAATGAAGCATACAAATCTGCAAGCCTTACTTGAATTCATGAGAATTGCATAGAAAGGCGGGTTATTGCAAAAAGTGTAGAGGGAGTTAAATGTTAAAAGAGCAAGTAAGATCAGAGAGAGCAAAATGCATTATAGTAAAAAAATTATACACCAATTAAGAGCTCATAAACATCGCCTAGAAAGGCGCCGCAATCAGAGAATTAGGTCTAGTTATATTTTTGCGCTGCAAACAGCATGCTACAGTTGTAGTACTCCCTGCTAGGGTAGCATATATATAGTAAAAATAACATATGAACTTTACGCTAGAGTGAAAAAATACCACATCTGCTCCTGCGGCTGTTTTTTTTTCTATTTCTTTCTATTTTTTTTTTTTTTGGCGGCGTCATCTTCTTCGTCTGCATGCGCACTGAACCCCAAATGGAGGTCGTTGGCATTCACTCAACGCGAGTATATCCAAGTCCACTCGAGCCCATCTATAAATTTACAACGGCGACAAGTTTAATTAAACCATTTAATTTTGTTTATCTAATGCGAGCAGACGCACTTTTATATAGGTTCAGTATATGATACAATATGCTAAATATGTTTACAATGTGGGTCTTGTTAGGTGTTTGTTATTATTATTATACTTATTATGTCTTTGTTTTTTTTTTTTTTTTGTTGAAGATTGCATCTAGTTTGCTTCATGGAAGAACAATTTGTCATACGATTACGCAGACGATTACAAGTACAAGTACCGAGTAGTTCAGTTAATTTAAGTTAAGTTTAAGTATCTAGGCGGCAAAGAAACAGATTTAACAATTATGCTAGGTCAACGATTGGCTAAATACAAGTTATTGTCACATTGTGGCTGAATATCGAAAGCATAGGCCAATTCCCATAAGATATCACGAGTGTGCCATCGACACGCCGCCGGGCATGGCACCCGCGGCGGCGATCTCGTCCTGAAATGCCAGAAAACCAAGCTGAGCATGCGATGCCTCGTTCAGAGCACGCGAACGTATGCAGGCGCGATACTGATCCGCGCTTAGCGAACCGGTGCAGATCTGTCGGAGTTTAAAAACCAGGGATTAGAGGACAATTTACAGGTGTCGCTGGTTGCCTCACCTTTGTATGCCAGCGATGAAAGATGCCCGGATCTGTGGCGCGTATGATTTTTATTTTGGATCGCACATATTTGCGATAGAGCATCACATCCTCGCCGCCCCAGCCAACGATTTCCTCATCGAAGCCGCGTATTTGGAGGAAGTCAGAGCGATACTGGCACGTCATGCCATAGCCAAAGTCGCGCCAGAAGCCCGTGTCCCGCGAGATGAGCAGCTGCTCTTCCTCGCTGGGCAGCGGCTTGCCCTGCAGTGTGTACACCACGTGCGGATTGTACAGGCTAAACACGACGGGATAATAAACCTAAAAGGACAACTAATTAGTCGAGTCCTCGTCTTACATGCGCCCTGCTCTTACCTTCTTGCCTGGCGCGGCATTCCAGCGACAGCGCTCCAAAAATTTGGCTGTGAATACAATGTCCACATCGCACATGAAAAGCAGCGCATCCTGCGTCACTTTTTCCGCCTTTGGCTGAATGTGCTCGGCGCCCAGACGCAACGCCTTGGCTGCAAGGAGAAATATTTAAAGGTATCCGGCGGCAACTCAATCTGGCACCCACCTCGGCTGAATGTCTCATTCAGAGCAACAAGCTGTGCACGTTCCGCTCCTGCTGCTATCTCCTGCGCCTCCTTGAGGCCCGGCTCTCCAAAGTAGACGACTATCAGCTGCAGCCGCCGATCCGCCAGCTTGCCCAACATCCGCACAAAGCTGCGAAAGCTGTGCAGGCGTCCGGCGAGCGGCAGTATCACGTGGATAATGGGACTGGCGGCCACCTCGGATAGCTGGACCGTCTGCAGCGGTGCGAAAGGTCGCATGATGAGCGCCTTGCGCACCACATTCGTCTGGTGCTTGATGCTCTGGAAATACAGCTCGTATTGGCTGCCAGTTGTCGGCTCCGTGCGGTAGATACCCTCGACAAAGTCGTCCAGCGTGTACCGGCCCAGCTCTGTGGCAGTGAGACCCTTGGCCCTTACACGCGCCGTATGATTGCGATTGAGACTCTCCAGTGCCTTGTTGACCGCTTCTAGAAGATCGCGCCGCCGGTAGCCAATGGGTTTCTCCACCACACGTTTGCCCAGTCCCAGGTCGATGGGATAGACGCGCGTGAAAGTGAAATGGTTGAAGGGTATCATCTCATACTCATTGTTCAGCGGCAGGCCGTGCAGTATCTCAGCGGCGCCCACCTGTTTGCGTATATAGCTGCTGCAGTCGTAGTGGTGCGTGAGCGGCGCAGTTGTGGTATCCGTCTGGTGCAGTGTGTTGTTGTTGCTGCTGCTGCTGGCGGCATAGCCACTGCCCTGTATCGGCACCTTGCCCGGCACGCCATTGTTGTTGCCGCCGCTACGATTGTTCTGTAGTAGCACAAGCTGAGCACGCAGAGTGAGCACCTCGTGCTTGAGCCGCTCTATTTCTGCATCTCGCGCGCTCAGCGCATAGTTGTAGCCATTTGTCTCGCTGGGATTTGCATGCGAGTCCTTGTCCGTTTGCGCGGTCAGCTCATCGAAACCCCATTTTGTTAAAATGACAATCGAAACTACAGTAACCAGTGCAAACAGCAGCAGAAGGCGCACTAGTAACCTGGAGGCCAGCGAGCTATGCATTTTCCATGTTACGTTTGGCAATTATTGCTGCAAAACATCAAATTTAAATTAGACGCCAAGAAATAAATTAACAAAGTTGCCACACTGTCAAAAACAGCGTTGCCACACACGATTTGGCCGCAGCGCAAAATTGCGTCGCATTTTAACGCAATGTGCTTAACATTTATGTTATTTAACAGCAACAGTCACAACAATCACCATTTTTTCATTTACAGCCTGTAGAAATTGTCAGACAAAACACAACGTTGCCTTACTAATATTTTTTTAATCAAAATCCAAAAAAATTTAAAAGCGAGGCATAAAACAGGCAAACAGTACAGAAACAGCTAAACAATCGTACAATAAACATTTTCCAGGTGAGTGTGTTTTAGTTAAATAGGGCGAGGCCGACAACGCAATGTAAATATTGTGCGTTGGCAGGCGGCTGCAAAAATTTGACGAGCAACAAGTTTTTTTTGGTGCTGCTAGAGCTGGCTGCTTTGTCACTGCTTGCAGCGTCACAGTGAAGAGTCACGGTTCAAAGAGTTAGCGCATTTAGTTTGATTCTGGACGTGGTTAAAGATCTGATTAGCAACAGGGCGCCAACAAATAGCGTGTAATTAGCTAAAATATTTACAGCTACAGCGCTCAGTGTGAACTTTAGTCAGTGAGCAGTGTGACCAATCACTGGTTTAGGCAGCGCTCATCTCTATTTTTGTGCTAGCCCAAGTTCGGAAATTGTATGATTCATTTCGTACTGGACAAAATATTGCATAGATAAGATGTGCTTCAACTTGCCATTGTGCTGTTATTCTGTTTGGTATATGGTATGTGCGTGTGTGTTTGAATTTAACTTTACTAATCGCAGCTTTTTAGTGTGTGCACCTCTTTCTCTGCTTACATATGTGATTGTGTGCGCGATTGTGTGTACATGTGTGTGTGTGTGTGCTTGTGTGTGTACTCGACGCAATTAGTTGATTTGTATCTTGAGAACTGAGAAAATTCCTAATGTATACAATAACTTGTACCCTGTACCCATTGAAAATAACTAAAACAGATACATTTACGAAACAGCCTGAGCCAGATATATTTCCAACACAAATGTTTGTTAATAATTAGATCGACGAGCTCAGTGGAGAAAGCCATGTGGGTCTAATCAGAACGTGGATATGCATATGCGTATGCATTAGGCATGGACTGAGAACTAACTTATTATACATGGATAACTCATATTCCTTTGGCTTTAATTCTTTATCTCCATGAATGATCATCTTAGGGCTTAAAAATGTTGATATATTTAATAAGTAATAGCTGAATGCGTCGCCCTTGCTATCGCAATCTCGCCCGTTCTCTTCCTGCTTTAGAAATATTGCAGTTCTATGCGATTCTTACGAATTTGACTAAGGCTGGCGGATTCCGATTGGAGTTTTATTTAATTTATGCAGACTAGTTTCTACTCTAATTGCAGCAAAAGAAATACGATTGAATGCTAGGGTATATCTGAGTCAATAATTCGAATAGTACCCGTTGATTTAAACTGTGAACGCTCTCTATAATATCTGCCTTTTCTTTTGCAGCTAATATACATTTGAACAAGCACAAAGATGGAGAACAACGAGGCGCCCGCACCTTCCGGTTCCAATAATGAGTAAGTAGAACTCACAAGAAGAGCCGCAACCAAATGAATATTGAAAAGTGCGACGCACAAATGCAAGCCCGGGACGCCCAATGTCGTGGCGAAGTTCTTGGCGTGTGATGTCATTCCGTCAATTAGTAAAATGCATTCACTTCGGCCGGGGCTGGCATTCGTGCGTGGCGCTGTGAGTCGCGCTTGTGCTTCCCTTCCGCCACACATATAATATTATACAGTTTTCCCATACTTCCGCCGCCGCCGAATGCCTCGTCCTCCTACAACTACAACAACGAAATCAACAACAACAAAAGCAACAACAATGCCGCCCAGAAGCGCCTGCAGCAGACACAGGCCAAAGTGGACGAGGTCGTGGGCATAATGCGCGTCAACGTCGAGAAGGTGCTCGAACGTGACCAAAAACTATCCGAGCTGGGCGAACGTGCCGACCAGCTGGAGCAGGGCGCCTCACAGTTCGAGCAGCAAGCTGGCAAGCTGAAGCGCAAGCAATGGTGGGCCAACATGAAGATGATGATCATTCTGGGCGTCATCGCGGTCGTCTTGCTCATTATTATAATAGGTAAGTCCGCCAGGCACCCATTTGTTCTCTTTTTGGTTTAGTTTAATGCTTTCCGCCTGCGCTTTCATCTAATATACTACAAGTGCTTCCAATTCCTAATTGGTAGCTTCAGGCTTAGGCGTAAATGTTCTATTTTGATTATATGCTAGCCATAAGCCTGTGATAACTACTTAAATAGGAGTTATTGCTATTTATATTACCCACTTACTGCTAAAGGAATTAAGACATGCATATGCTTAGTTCTGGATTTAGACTTAAGTACACACGCACCTAAACACCTAGCTCAACATTGTATTAATTTTGTCACGCTCAGAAAGACATCTTTCCTGCCCCAAATATTTATACTAAAATGGTATTTATAAATCGATATGTATAGAGTTACCATTTCCCTCCCTCTGTCTGTCTGTTTATATACAAGCAATTCTCTTAGCCTTAAATTTCTTTTGATATTATTCTTTCATCCTGCACAATATTTACTGTATAAGTTGCACACATCGATCCCCTTTATCATATAGCTGACAGAAGGCACAACCTTATAGAAATCGGAGTCTGAAAACCTTGTATATCGACAATACTGTCTCTTTAAATAATAATTAATCCAACTAACAAATCTAAATTAAATTGTACTAAAAATATTTAGCTAAAACCTATGGGACAACGGACGACCATATCTTTTAGTTCAAATAGATCACAATCGTTTGTTCCTCGAGTTATCTTGTTCAAATACTCACCACCTAGAAGTTTCATTATATTCTGTATGCCTTCTGGAGTTTCGATTAATATTTCATATCATGCACATTTGTCACATATCTGCAAAAGTCTTTAATTTATAGTCAGAGATATCTGTGCTTTCATGTTTTTTTCGTTAATTTCTGTCTGTCTGGCTTGGTTTTGGTTGTCGGTTGTGGTTGTGGTCGGGTGATTGGAAGTTGTTCGCACAATTAACTTGAATCGATTGGCAACTTTTTTGAACAATGATCCATTTTTATTTTACTTGCAGTGTCGCTTTACAATTGATAAACAAAAAACAGAAAAAAAAAAAAAAAAACAAAAACAAAATGTATCCACATGCGGCAAGGCAACTTGTTGCGCTTAACTCTAAGGCAACTTATACAAAAACGTATACATATATATATATATATATATATATATATATACACGCGCTCACACACACACACAGAAACACACCCACACCCACATACATGTGCTGTGTGTTACAAAGAGAACAAATTTAGCATAAGCAAAAGGTAAATGAAAATTGTTGCGTGTGCTCCATGTGCTAATTAGCTGTTTATTTGCCTAGATAATTAAGCGTGATAGCTTTGCTAAAAGTACACTCGGGTGTAGTTAATTTTAAGATTCGGACTTTGCAATATTAAAACTGCCAATGCATATGTGAGACACGTTAGAACAGGCTCCATCGTTGGATCCCCCCTTTTGATATGATGCACTAATCTGAAACTCTCTTCCCTGCCAATTACAGTGTGCGCTTTGCCCTCAAGCAGCAGCAGCAGCACGGATCATGCCACAAAAGCCGCCACCGAGGCGCCCCATTAGGAACCGCAACGCAGCTCGTCAGGAAAGAGAAACACAACGAAACACAGCTCTTGAATGGAGGAGCTGCTGCCTTTGCACTGGCCTTAAGCGCAACAACTAAATTTAAAACTGAAACTAAAACTTAAACACAAGCTGTGTCTAAAAACCTACAACTAAAACACTTAACAGATTGTTATTTATATATTAATCCTAAATGTTAAAACACAAACATTTCTCACATATGTATTGTAACAAATATTGCAACAACAGCAACAAATGTAATTTAAACGACGCACATGTATGTTGCGTGTGTTTTGTGTGTGTGCGTGTGTGTGCCTGTGTGTGTGTGTGTGTGTGTGGATGTGAGGTTTTTCCCTTATACGGCGCACAAATTGAATTTAAACTTCGTTTTAGCCCAGCTAAGATTGCACATGTATTAAACACTAGTTTAAAGCAAAAGCCACGCACGCACACATACAAGCGCACGCACAGGCACAGGCACATATTTTATATGACTATATATGTACACACACACATATATACCTTTTTGTATTTACACTTATATGAAATGGCATGTAATTGATATAATTTCGTTATTATTATACTCCTAATACAACGTGCGTTTGCCAAAAAGAATCGCGAACATTTTGTAGAAGTTTACGTGAAATATTATTATTAAAATATTTGTTCGCTTTTTACAAATATTTTGTGTTGCATGTGTGTGCGTGTGCGTTGCAAAGTAAAACTTTTATCGATTTGATGCGTCCAAACCAAAAACTAAAACCACAAGTTCGACGTTGGCGGGGAAAAACGCGTGGAAATGGAGAACAGCCTGGCCATAAACCGAATGTACAACGTACCAGGCCCTAAATTAAAACACAAATCAGATGTTCGCAAGGATCGCGAAGACCGTGACGTAAGCCCCTCAACGGAGGAGGCATCCAGCAGCAGGCAGCGAAACGTTCCTGATTTGCGTTTGCCAGCGACTATCGAAACCATTAGCTCCTGCGCTGGATGAAGGGGCAAGGAAGGCTGTGGGCGTGTGTCCCGCGTCTCTGCATTTATGCGTGTGTCTGTGTGTGTGCGCGTGTCTGTGCCCGTATAGAACAGCTGTTCGTGGCCTTTGCGACGCATGCGCCTGGTCAATTTAAAAGGAGGTAGTAAACACATTTTGAAGCATGGCAACACTGCAAGGCGACATCTGTTCTAGAACTTTTTCATTAACGTCGCCAGGGTTGTATCATAATTGGCCAATTCGAAGCCAGATGAAAGCGTCCACACGATGCCCATGTACAGGGCATAAAAGTTCAGATAGTAAAGCTGGCCAATTAGTATGTGATCGGCAACGTTGTTCACTTGATAGAAGTTCGGCTTGCGTATCGAGGCGGCATAGACGACCACAAACTGCATTAAAAGTGGGCATTAATCAGCTGATATATCCCAAATGACACTGCCTGAATGTGGCACGACGGTAAAAGCTTTCGGTCTGGTTGACAATCTCGAATCCTTTCCGCGTGTGCACCATTCAGTTAGTGTTATTGGGATCTGAACGCCTTGCCTGTCTTCTTACAATGTTCGACATCAGGCTGTATACGAGGAGGGTGGGAAACTCGATGGTGGCGCGCTTCATCTCGGAGCTGACAATGATGCCAAAGCAGGTCAGCACAAAGAGACGTTCGCTCCAACGGATTATATTGTGGCGCGACACCTATAAATGGAAAATATCTGTAAGAAAATGGTCCTCAGATCTGGTTCGGCGTTGGAAGAGTCCACTTGCAAAGAGACCACGTCGGTGTTTTACTGCCATGTTGCCATATACCACACTTACGCCCATGATCAAAAAGGTGACCAAAAAGGATATTAACATACACAAGTATGGGGAACTCTTGGAGGGCTTCATGATCGATAGGGTGTTTACCTCGAACTGGAGAGCAGCAGGAATAGTAATTCTTAAATTTAATTCAATGAGTCTCAGTCTCTCTCTCTCTCTCTCTCTCGCTCTCTCTGTTTTTATCGCTTACCGTCCATATTCCGGCTAAGATCCTTTTCCACAGTGCTCTTTTCTCAATAACATGATAAAAGAACACGTACAGCTGTATCGATATAAAACTTATGAAAAACTGCAACAGGCTCACATAGTAATGCTTTTCAAGAAACCTTTTGATGAAGGAACTGCAGGACACAATAATACAATACAATAATAATGTATGCAGATAGATAGATGGAGATAACGTTTCGCTCACATTTCATTTATAATGCAGACCTGAAGTTGTCCAACTAAAAGCATTATGACGGTCACTTTATACGTTTTCTTCAGCAGTGATCTCGTAGCCTGCTCCCCCCCACGCTCATCAATATCCATTTATCAAAGTTCTATTCTTGCAACTGGGTAATTTTAACTGAAATTTCAATGCAACTTAAATATAAAATATAACCACATAGGGAAATGCCACCTCTATCGGACCCAAGTCACAGTAGCCCTTGCCAATAAATGCGTTCAATGTTGTCCTCCTGTATTGAAATTTTGACTAGAAGTGTAAATGGAATACACATATATATTTAAACATGTGGTAAATGTACACTAGCGAATTTTAACAACAGCTTCCAAATTTACAAAAATAAATAAATTTTGTTGACATGAATATCTTCCTTACCAAGAATAATGTTTAGTATTAGTTACGTTTAGCTTCATTTCGGTCACAAGGGCCTCGAGAAATCCATCAAGCATGCCTTGAATCACACGCCCTACACTCTTCACTCTTCCCACTCATATTAATTCTTTTTAATTTTAATAACTTTTTTATACATAACAACGCATAAATTTTTTGTCTATGTATCCCATAAGCCATAAACCTGCCGAATAATGGATGATCGTGTCGGTACCTATCAACGCACACGTCGGAAATTCGCGGCCATTGTCTATCTGATAACCTTCTGCTGGCTCCTGCTGGGTCTGGCCCAGTGGCTGGTCGTGCTTTTAGTGTAAGTTTGTAGCATAAACAGTATATGGTATATAAACGTGTTTCTTTCCTTTCCTTTCCTTTCCTTTCTCTGCAGTTCTTCGGCCAAAAATGCGTTCTTAAGCTATCATTATATGAGTATCGTATGCTTCACACTATCAATTACATTGGCGCTTCTCTTCATATTCTTCGAGGCAGCTCGCTTTGTCACATGTGTGAATTGGCTTATAACCATTCTAATCGTAAGTAGCTGCACTTCTCGAAGTGAATCCGTTTTCTAACTGGGCGATCAGGTACAGTTCGCCGTTATGGGCCTGTTTGCGCTGGTCGCCAACTCTTCTTGGCCGGAACTAATCATGTGGTTTGCGATTTGCGTCCTGCTGCTCTTTATCTTCGTACTATTGGGCTCTGTAATACCGGTAGGTGGCTTCGACTATAACCAAGCATTAACTTATCATTAATCAAAGATTTTCCAATTTTTAGCACGATCTGACGCTGGATGTTGTTATATTGTTTGTGATATCCTTTGTCTTCCTCATTGTGTCGGTCTTCCTGATTATGCTGCACCTACTGACGCTTACAGCTCACTCCTTTGTCCTCTACCAGCTATTTGTTAGCGTCATCATTTTGACGGTGAGTATTTGATTACTGTGCCATGGCGTATATATTCTTTGCTTTTGTCTATCTAGTTTGTCATGTACCACGCGCAGACTATTAACGGCGGCCGCTTTGCGGAAATGCGGGTCAATGATTATCTTCTGGCCTCGATCATACTCTTCTACGATTTTAGCGTCATGTTTCTCTTGACATTCTATATGCAGATCCACTATAAGATCGCAACGATTAGTCCGGCCGGAACAACGACGAAGGCTCCAGACGACAGAAACACCACAGCAAGCAACAACTCAACCCAGGTTTATTTTTTTTAAACTAATTTCATATAAATTGTACAACATGCATCCGTTCGATGACATCCACCAGCAAATGCACACGATTATCTGTATTAGTGTATAATAATAATGTCCAAAGCGTTAGATATTCAAATTCCATTAACAGATGTAATTGTAACTAGCTTGAAATGGACTATTTGTCATTCATTAATTTGTATCTCATGCATAGCCCTTTAAGGAGTAAATAATTATTTCGGTTCAATTCAGATCTTTATTTACACCTATTCTTAGCGGCTTATATTAAATTTAGTCTAGACACATTTGTAATCCTTCAAGTCTTTCAAAACGCATACAATCTTGTTTGAGGCGCCGATTTGTCAAGAAACTGCTTGTCCACAGAAAGTAGTGCAAACTGCGTTGTGAACTGCTTGCTTTGCCTTCAGTATTAGCACGGCTGCTGCTTAATAAAATGTAGGTTCAACTTCTTTATTAACTGCTTTATGAACTACTTATTTGACTTTGTTTTTTTAATATTTCAGGTCCGATTTTGTCCGATATCTAGCCGAAATAACGTCCGATTTTGGAATGATGAACCATGTTGGACGCGTACTGATCGCTATTGTCGAATGGCATTACGTTTTTGGTTAGTCTTTTTAAAGGACATTACATTGAACACCTTAAGGACCATTCTGATGTCCTTTGGACAACATGTAGTCCTTGTCCTGCCAACTTAGAGTATGTAATCAGAAGGACGAAAATCCTTCAAGGAGCTGAGGAAAGGAGATTTTTGGCGGGAGAGATAAATCGCTGTAGCTCGACCGTATCCTTGCCAATCATGATGTCCATTGGCCAACCGTAAGTCCTCAACCCCCTCCATTCAGAATATATATTGAAAAGGACGAAAGTCCTTTCAACAGCCTAGATATGAGTAAAATTCTTTCGTAAATTAGCAGAGCCATAACACGGCCGTATCCTTGCGGATCCTGACAAGTCGTGTGTCAAATAATTCGTATGAACAAGGACCAAAAAGCTGTTCAAAGGACAACAAAATCGTCCTTGCCGTTTCCGATATATGGCTAATTTTCTAAAAAGGACATTTTTCAATAAGCCACAACTCAGCCAAATCCTTAAGGATATCGGAAGGATATGCCTTTTTAAACTCGTGGTGAGCAGAACTATCGATTGACATTTAAGGATTTCCAGTATTCAACAAAAAATTTCATCGAAATTTATCCTAGGGGGCTAGTCGCAAAATTGGCCAAAATCGAAAATATCCCGGCTAACTTCGCCATTTGAAGGACTATCGGGATGTCCTTTGGCTAGTATATAGGTCTTACCTTCCCATTGAAGAATTTACAAACCAAAGGACGAAAGTCCTTCAGACAAAAAAGTTTTAAGGACAATTTTGCATACTAAAAATAGGCCATAGCTCGGCTGTATCCTTGTATATCCTTGCGAGTCATATGTCAAAAAAATTGTATTAACCAGGACTATAAGCTGGCCAAATTTCATTAGGATCGTCCTTGTAGCTTGGCAGATATTTAAGGATTTGTGTTTTCGGGCCATTTCCGTGCGCTCCGCGACTAAAATTTTACAAGTCAAAATACAAGTCTTGGGGTTCTTAGATGACCCCATATTTTTTTGATGCAGATCGATGCAGGGGGTCTATAGGATCCTAACGCACCATGTCCTTTGAAAATCTGCAAGGATATGCCCGAGTTATGGCCTATTTCCCTTACATATAATGCTTATATATACATATATATAATTATTTAATTTAAATGTGTTTTTATCTTTTCAGACTCGCAAATTAAGGACTACAATGACCTCTAAGGACCTCCACGACTGATAAAGCAAATTTTCCCAGGATCGGAATTTATTTAATCCAGATATAGTTATTTTAAGTTTAAATAAACTAAATTTTGTAAATTTAAACATAAATAAATGAATTATTTAAAATAAAAAACGAAATTCCTTTTTTTTTTATAAAAAAATTCAAAAATCAACGGTCGTTTGCCTACCCGTCAGCAACGGCTGTTGGCAACCGCTGGCTGCCGAGATTTTGCTTAAAATCTGCCAAAATACCAGGCGAACAGAAATGTTCAGCAAGCAGATGCACCAAAATTTTTTTGCAAAAATGATGACTTGCAAGTATTTTAACAGTTCACTGTTAAGCATCTGTTATTTAACAGTATACTGTTAAGTCGCTGTTAGTTAACATACCAGTGTTAACAGCCCCTGCTAAAAGGGGGCGTCCGGCTTGAACGGAAATTTGGCAAAAATACCAGGCGAACAGAAATGCCCAGAAGGTCGACGTACAATATTTTTTCGGCCGAAAAATTTCATTGCATACCCTCACGGGGCGCCCTCGTCGAAAGCTACGCCCCAAATTTGCACTAAAATTCCACTCAAATACCAGGCGAACAGAAATGCGCAGAAGGTCGACGAGTTCTTTGAACTACAATTTTCATTGCATAGCATAAGGGGCAAAAATGTAACTCAATTAATATGAGTACTGTTTATTAGCAGTTTATGTTAAATGATTGCTGTAAGGCGGCAGTTAAACAACAGCTGCAGCTGCAGCTAATGTAAAAGGGCTTCTGAAAGAAAAATCATACAGGTTTTTGGACCATTGCAATGTAAATTTTGCAGATATCTGATCCTTTAGGTTCCCAAAGACTATATCGATGGTATGGTATAACCAAGGATATGCTAGTTAACTAGAAACCATTAAGGGGGCGGGACTGTTGCTGGGGGCGGCTGTAAAAGAAAAGCAAACACATTTTATTATACACTTGCATATATTTTGTCCTTTAGGTTCGCTACGACTATACCCATGATATGGAATAAGCAATGATATACAGATCAACTAGGTACCATGAATAGCGATCGCGTTTTTTCTCAAAATCGGGATCGGTTAGAAAATCAAAACCTTTTTTATAATTTATTTTGAATATCTCGGATAAATATCGTCTGATTTTGAAATGTTATACCTTTTTTAATTCGCACGGATCCCTACTATAAATTGACAATCAATCAAATAAACAATCGAATCGTAACATAAAACTTTTTACAAAAAAAATACACTTAAATTAAACATGCCTTGAAGTACATGCCCCAAAGGAGGCCCAAACTATCTTAATTACAATACTATCGTTTGATTTTTGTAATGTTTGATCAGATATGAATGGACAAATTATTTATTTCCGTATACAGTGAGCCGTAAGTTGACGAGACAATGATTGACGGCACGACCTCGTATAGTCGGGACCGTCTAAAATTCGCTTTATACGTTTATTTGATATCCCTGACCTGGCTGGTGATAGCGCTGGTCCAATGGTTGATTATCAACTTGTTGTAAGTTGAGATACATTAGGTAATCAGAAGCGGTTTCTCACTAAGGATATCTTTCATGCTGCAGGCCCAATGCCGGTGGCGTATTCGCAGTAGGCATACTACTGGGAGTGGCATTGGTACTCGTTAATCAGCTGAACAAAATTTGGTTAAATTGGATTCTAACTGCGCTAACCGTAAGTAGTTGAAGTATATAGAAATTGATAATTGCCAGGAATGCAATTTTAGATAGAGTTCGGGATCCTTGGTATGGCTGCTCTGGTCATCACATCCTTGTGGCCGGAACTACTCCTGTGGATTTTCATTTCTTCGCTGCTGATCGTCGATTGCATTGTTCTTAATATTTATTTGCCTGTAAGTATATAGGTAGCATTATCTGAATTAATTATCTGATAAGTCGATAACTTTAGTGCGATCTTACCAAGGATGCATTCACACTGCATATTATTTCCTGTGTCTTCTTTTTCGGATCAATTTTCATACACATGATGTACGTGATAATAACCTCGTCGTATTTCAGTGTCATGTTCCAAATCCTGCTCAGCGCTATTGTCGTTATGGTGATTGTTAACTTAAAGACTGGGCTCCATCGATATCTATTATCGCTCCCTCTCTCTCCCTCTCTATATCTTTTGTTTGTCCTGCACAACGCGCAGGCAATTTCTGGTGCACTTTATGCGGAGCTAGTCCCCGAAGATTTTCTTCTGCCCAGCGTCGCCTTTTTCTATCATTTTGTCGTGCTCTTTTTGCTTTCCTTTTCTGCGCACCAGTACAAGTTCGGCACGTGGACAATGGTTGCGATCGGATGGCTCAATCCATCTCTGTTGAAGGAGAATGAGGCAAGTTAACCAGCACCAGAGGAATCCTTGCCAAGTAAATTATCTGTTCAAATTGTTTTGTAAATTATTTTGTTATATTTTTTCATTTGTTTATACTTATCAACAGGCATTCTTAATTTCAGAGCCTTGGTAGCCATATTTGGGTGCTGAACCGATCATCTTGAAGAATACATTTTCCCTAGTGTGAAGCAAAATGAAGAAGTACAGCCGCTGCGTTTGTGTGTGTGTGTGTGTGCGTGCTTTTGACGTATGTTTGTGTAGAAAAATCTTGAGTGTATGTAAAAGAAAGGGTATACCCTAGTCAGGCGCTCTTAGTGGTTATTCATGCCTTGACTTGGGAAACCTTAAAGATACATTGTAAAATGAATTAAGTACAAATTCTTAAGTAGATCGATTTCTTTTCATTTAACTTTAACGCTGAAATTTTAATCACAGGAGTAAAATAAATGTACATCTATGTATATATAGAATATGGTTAGATCATATAGGTATTATATAGGTGTTATGTTTGTTAAGTACAGATCACAACTCACATGGATGAGTCAACGCTTCAGTTTTGTTAGATATTATATAATACACGGGCCTAGAGCGAGATCTGCAGCTATTTCATAGGGGAATAGACATAAACATACACATATATAGACGCGAATTGGAACTACGTTAGCTAAGATTATTGATTGCACAGCAGTAAAGGATTGCTTTTGTCTAGACATTCGAATATGGAGTATACATGAATCATATTGTTTAGTTATCATTATGCTTATAAGGACTCCAGCGATGAGGCAGCCGAGCAAATAGTCGCATCCGAATCACTGAACTTTGATGCGCCCAACGCTGAATGCAGCAGCTGCGACGCCGACCGCGACGCCGACTGCGATGCAAACGAACCGAGCAGCGGCGAGGCCAGGTCATTGGGGCTGCTGAGGCGACTCGGTGTTGGCGTGGTCGCTCCGGCCAGGCTCAGGCTGCTGCTGTCCGTGGACGAATCGGCGTCGGCTGACTGCAAGGATGTGTTGGCATATCGCTCCAGCAGCAGCTGGCTGAAGGTCCTCGCTGGCCAGTCGGCATCCTCGAAACTGAACGGCAGCCCAACCGGATCCGTGGGCGTTGTTATGGGCGTGGGCATGTGATTGATGCTGCTGGTAAAGGAACTGTTGTCGATGAGGCTGGTGACGGGCTCCAGGAATCGCTTGCCATGGTACATGTGACAGTCCCCAAGGGGCATAAACGGCGACGGCGACGGCGTCTGCGACTGGGCCGACCACAATGAAATGGGGCGAAAGTGATTGGCAGGCGTGGCATTGAGGTTGTGATTCTGATTGTGATTGTGATTGTGTGTAAGGTTGCTTGACTGGGTGTTGGTGCTCGTCTGGCTGCTCCCGCGTCGCTGGTTAAGCTGCAGCAGCTCAGTTTCTGGAGGAGAAGGACAAATCAATACACAGGACAGAGAGAGAGAGAGAGAGAGTGGGGGGGACCGAGGGGGGAGCAAGGGATTCGCCTTTGAAGCTTGTATCGAGCATTGGCTGGCAATATAACTAATAACTGGCGACTACGCTACCTGTGCTTCATACCTTCCGCCGCGGACTCCTCGCTGTCCACATCTTCGCGTATGCTGTCCTGGCTGGCCACCGGCTGTCCAGGATCGCGCCCGTGCGAGTTATTGGCATGGTTGCCATCCAGCGTGGTGCTCACCACGGCCACGTCCATGTGCGAGTCCAGCGAGAACTGTTTGCCCGACATGAGTATGCCGCGCACTCGGCGACGCGTCGATGGCGATTCCTGGTGCTGCAAGCGATTGAATTATTAGCGGAACTCGGACTGCTGCAGCTCTACTTACCGCAATGCGTATTCCCGCATAGGTCTTGGCCAGAAACTCGTCGGCATCAAAGATGGCCGCAAACGAACCATTAACCACCTTTGGCGACAGCGGCGAATTCGAGAGCAGCAAGCTGGACCCGAATGCTTCGCTTTTCTCCTTGGTATCTGTGTTACGAGATTATCAATTATTTACATTAATACCTTATTATAGATTGAGCTTGGAGCCATTTAACTGATAAACAAATAAAGGAGTCAAATCCCTTTTAAAGCTGTTTATGGACTTTAAAGTAATCCACGTTTATAATATTTTATAATTGCCTCTGACATCAACTTTTGCTTGTCTACTATAAATACTTTTGTCTACTATAGATACTTTTGTATCTTACAGATACGCATAAGATACACTTGAAACTTTTGTATCTTAAATTATTCGCTGTTACGCGGATGCATTTGTAGCTCCAAAATACTTAAATAGCTAATATATTTTTTGTATCTTACAGATAGTCTTAAATCCCCTACCATATAAATACTTTCTTGTTTGAAAGAATTCATTTAAAGCTTTTGTATCCTGTCTACACCTTTATACCCAGCAAGGTAACATTTATATCTATCAGTTACTTTTCTTACACTCGAATAAAAGATTTCTTACCAACACTTTTCTACTTCTAAAATATACAGATACGATTGTTAAATATACCCAAAACATTTCTATGTGCTTTGAACTGAATTTAGTTACTTCGGAACCACATCTTCGGATACATCTTACAGATACAAGCGTTAAATGTCATTTTGTCAAGTATGCGCTGAAAGGACAGCCCTCAGAGTATGGACCGCAAGAATAAAATAATGCATCTGGGTGGATCAAAGTGTTTTATGCTAATGGGAAAAGAAACGTAAACAATAATTTAATACAAAACTAAACTAAAATAAAACAAAACAAAGAGAAACGAAACGAAACGAAGCGAAACGTTGAAAGGACATTCAGTAATTGGGAAGGGCCCAGTGTTTACCCTTCAGATAGACGCGATTCGAGATTGTGATGTTCATCTCGTCGAGCACCTGGGTAGCCACCTGCTTGATTTCCATCCAGTCCTTGACAATGTCGTCGAGCGTCGTGTGCGTCGAGGTGATGGTAAAACGAATCACGTACTGCCCTTTCAGAGAGGACGGTACGCAGTGCTGGTTGCCCCGATAGTTCAGGCGCTTAAGCAGCCGCTCGGTGATCTCGTTGTCGCCGCGTATGCGGAACACGACCAAGCCCAGATGCCGCTTGGCCGGCAGCTCGAAGCGATGATCGGCGAGAACTAGGGCCTCGAACTTCTGCGCCAGGCGCACGCCCTCACGAATGTGGCGCTGCAGGCCCTTGATTCCAAAGGAGCGCAGCACAAACCACACTTTAAGCGCCCGGAAGCGGCGACTCAGTGGAATCTGCCAGTGCATAAAGTCGACGGCCACCCCGGAATTCTCGTGCTGCAGATACAAAGGCTCCACGTTGAAGGTCCGATGCACCGCGGTGCTGTCCTGCACCCACATCGCCGTGGCATCAAAGTGAACCATCAGCCATTTGGAGGGATTGAAGGCCAGCGAATCGGCGCGCTCGATGCCCCGCAGCCAGGTCCGGAACTCGGGGCAGATGAAGGCGCTGCCCGCATACGCCGCGTCCACATGCAGCCACAGGTTGTACTCGCGACACACGATGCCAATCTGGGAAGGAAATATAGCTCGAGTCTGGCCTGATGGATATCTAGGAATCTACCCACCTCATCCAGATTGTCAAAGCTGCAGCTGCCCGTGGTGCCGAGCGTGGCACATACCTGTATGTGAATAAAATGTATTAACCGTATATTCGAAGCATAACAGCTGAAAGGCAAAGCTTTTCAAAAAGCTTGTATTAGATAAAGATAAGGCCGGATACGGAGAGAGCTTTGACACAGCATTAGCTGTCAGTAAAACGTTTAAGAATGCTGTAAAAGGAGCGTAACAAAGAATAAAAAATCAAAAGCTTTTATAGCAAGTAAAATTAAGCTTTAGCTACCAGATGAATAAAAAAATTCAAAATTACGGGTTTTAAGACTAAGTAAAATAATCATTTCACTGTAATGCTGTAAAAACTGCGTACCCAAAAGGAAAAAGAAAATGTAAAAAAAAAAAGCTTTAATATTAAGTGTGATAGAGCTTTAGGCGCCAGTTAAATGTTCACGAGTGTTGTAAAAAGCGCGTACCAAAAGACAAAAAAGTAAACGAAGACAAAGAATAATTAAAGATTAAGAGAAGTTTGCATAAAGCTTTGGGTGCCAGTTAAGCATTTACGAATGCTGTAAAAAGAGCATAGCAAAAGATAGGAAGAAAAGGGTTTGAATAATAAGGAATAATTATAAATCAACAGCTTAATTAGAAAGTAGTAGAAAGCTTTATCAGCTTAAACCGCCAGTTAAACGTTAACGAACGACGTAGAAGGCGCGTAACCACAAGAGAATTGGCAGACTCGCGTTTTAGCTGCGCTCTCAGCTGCAGTTATTAGTTCAAATGAGCTGAGCGCAGAGCCATGACGCTGAAGTGCTGACGTATATTAATTAGATCCGATGGGAATCAGGGAATCAGCTAGAGAGAGGCACAGAGAGAGAGAGAGAGAGAGAGAGAGAGGGGGGGGGGAGGGGAGAGGGAGACACAGCTGCTGCTGGCCACAAATCCACTCAGCGCCTAATTGCACAACAACGGCGGCCAATTAGTTTTGACAAGACAAGAGAAGACAAGACAAGAAGAGACTCACCCAGAATGGCACCAGGCCCTGCTTAATGTCGTCCTCGATGGCCTCGCGCAACAGTTTGCCCCGCATGGCCAGCTGCTCGTCCGCCTCAATGTAGCGCATACGCACGAGTCCTGTGGGCGGATGGATGTGGGTGGGCGCGAGGGAGGGGGTGGAATAGATGTTGGCATTAGCTGCTGCGGTAAGCGGCTTAGAAGTGCGTCACGACTCACCAATCAGAGCCGCCTTCTCCACGCTTGAGTGCGCCTGATCCGAGCAGTAGGCCACGAGGCGCGCATTTATCTCCGCATCCTGGTAGCCGGGATTGCGCTCATGGAAGCGCTGTATGGCCCGGGTGCGGCCCGCGAGCAGGCACACCAGGGTCGCCTCGCTGGCCGTTGTCTGCAGCACGCCGCCGCCCTTGCAGTTGTTGCTCAGGTGCAGAAACTCATCCGGCAGCCCAATCATCTTGCCCAGCCAGTTCATGACAACAATCTCCAACTCCGTGCACGCCGGCGAGCTGGCCCAGGTGAAGCCCAAGCAATTGATGGCATCCGCCAGCATGTCGCCCAGCAGCGATGGCATCGAGTTCAGCGCCGGAAAGTAGCCGTGCATATGCGGCGACTGCCAGTGTGTCACCCCGGACATGACAATGTGCTCCACATCCCCAAATATCTTCGGCCAGGGCTCGCCTTCCACGGGCGCCGACTCGGGCAGCAGCTGACGCATATAG